GACGTGTGCTCTTCCGATCTTTTAAAGGAGCATCGGGAATATGGCTGCCATTCCGCCATTTTGTAATATTATTTTATGAAAAAATTTTTACAAGTACTTCAATATATGCTTATTAACTTCACGGAGTATTAATACTTTATTTCATTTCCTTCCATTAAAAAAAAAATGTCGAAAAAGTGCAATTTTTTGGGCCGTTACAGTGGTGTTACCCCTTAACTCGAACGGGGGTAAGAGAACAATTTTACGGTAGCTTTGTATTTCACAACATTATCTCTGTTAGATCTGTTGGATATTGCGAATTAATCCAGCGAAATTAATTTCATCTATTTTTATTCTTTCCATAGCTATATTTATAGATTATTTCACAACTAGAGAAATCAATGTACCGTAAATTATTTTAGAATAATAAAAGCAACAAAAAATCTACAAAATTTTGCAAAATAAACTTTAGGTAAAACAAATAAAATGTAAGATTCTGCCCACTTTATGCCTATGGAAAAAAACCGAAATCTTAAATTTTGCTTTGAAACATCATGCAGTCGCATGTAGAGGAATTGAAATATCTTCAAATCATTGCGAGCTCATCGAGAGCTAAAAATCTGGATAAACTTTTCAAGTAAAACTATCTGCAAAAGTTGGATATAATTCGCGCGCACAGCTATATTTAAATGCTATACTTAAACTTCAACGATCGCGAACATTTAATGGGAATCCCCGGATGGGAATATCTTTTTTTTTTTTACAAATCCCTCTTTCATACGAGAAGTCGCACCGCTGCACCACCATCGACTTGTGGGCATCTAAAAAATTTATCATCGCTTCCTTACATTCTTTGCCTAACGATGAATGGCAGGATTGTTACATCGGCGGTATAGCGCGTCCGAGAATAGATTAACTGCCGCTTCGATTTAAAAGCACGACCAACACTATGACGTGAAAGTAACGATCTGATGTCGAGTCAATAACCTGCAATAACTGTTTGACCTAAAATTGTCTTTGGAATTGTCTGGAAGAGTTTTTCTTTTCCGCGGACACAGAGCCGCTCGGAACACACGACGCTCGGCCGGCCGCGACGACTGGGGTCTCTCTGGCCGCTTTTAAATCATTCCAATTCTAAAATATATTAATGAGGCATAGCTTAGTCCGACTTGTAGACTTAAATTTGACGTCGTTCGCACGCATTGTTCTCCTATACATACACGTCATGTTGTGTCGATATAGCTGCTCTACAATTCATATCGGCAGATCCGCGTCGTTCGATGTTCCACTCGCGTCGTCCTTCTGAACGACGCAGTTCCTTTCCTGCGTCCTTTCCTCGATCATAAATATCCATTCGCACTTATTAGCCTCGACAATGCACGGAAGAATTACCTCTGCCTCGGTATGAATAGCATATGAGTAAAAATGGATACACAAGCTTCGGGAAATCCAGAATTTTATCTCGTAAAGTAAGATAATGGAGCGCGCGTGAGATCATGAGCGATAATATTACTTTAACATTTTAGAAGACGTCCTCAAGATATATTTTTAGTGCACTTACAATAGATATGTTCTGTTATGTAAAACAAGAAAGCGTGTTAAAAAAAAAAGAAAAACATGTGCTAATGAAAGAAAAAGTGGGATTACATTCTGCAGATTTTAATCTGCTTCAAACATCTCGACTTCCATTGTGCTTTTGCATTGAGAATTTCTACGGGTGGAAGGGCGATCCTACGTAGGATCTAAGATACAGAAGTATATACTCCCGTTGTATAAATATAAATTCCTCGGCGTTCGTGCTGCGCGTTTAATGACGTAATTTTAATATCAAACTTCCACAAGTAGAGTTTAATACGAAAGTAAATACACAAAGTATGTACTTCTAAGTTCAATATACGTTTTATTCATACCACTCATTGCCTTACTATGTTAAACTCATTGCGAACTTTTCGTACGATATACTATATAGAAAAACGGGGGGATTTCTTGTCCATCCAATTTTATCCGAATTTATGATATCTTTTTACACTTTATATACATAATTTCGTACCGAATATAAAATTGAAAACAATCTTTAGAGTATCAACTTTAATATGCTCCATGTAAAGAAACGGAGATAGCAGTCATGTGCAGTATTACAAAGGAATTACGATGCACGATGTTTTTCTGTACTTTGCACTTGAGAATTTTTGCCTTTATATCTTAAAAAAAAAGAAATAATATCTAATCTAAATCTAATGTCTAATCTCGTTTGATGACTACGTCTGCATATCTCGCGTTTTTATACCTCCGCGGTGTAAAAAAATATTAACCCATTTCTTCTATTGTACAAAAAGACACGTTGAAATATCGATTCAATACTAATTACATCAAATTGATCGCTATCAAGCGCTTCGACGTTAACTACAGACTATCCCACGGATTCTATGGCTTCCGCTTAGGTGAAGTCGTCGATGTTTGAAGAACCGCATGGAAAGACAGTCCGAGGGAGAATCCGGAAAACGCAGTATGTGTAGCGTAAAGTAGGCCGGTGTAACTCTCGGTGCGCCGCGGAAGGACGTATTTAGCCTATAGGTTACGAGAAGCACAGATGGCTATAAGCTCTTATCTGACATCGATGCCTATAGTTCCAGTGTCGTTTCTAGAAAAGCTGCTATAGAAACGTCGAACGCGCGCGCAACCTTCCGCGCGCGCGGTGGAATGTGGACACATAAAGCTCCGAGTGGAAAGGACGAAGCGCTATTTGAGAATTGCAATAATTTCGAAGATAAAGAGCGCAAACAAGGTCGCGTAACGACTCGAAGTTGTCCTACTTATAGGCAGAAGTAATTGATCCGGTTATTACGTAAGACCCGGGGATTGAGGAACGTCGCAACATTGTCTCTCGCAGCGTGCATAAAACGCTCGCCTCGCCTCTCAGAATTATTGTAATGTAGCATACGTTGTAGCAGCGTTTGATTTCCATTTACGAAAGTCGAAAAATTTAGGCATTCGAAAGTCTAGGATTCGTCGTTTTTCTTGAGTATCTTCATTTGTAATATATATAATTTCGATAGACCAAATTTGAGCCGTATACGGCCTTGGTCAAAAATATTAGCCACTTTTGTATGTTTTTCATTTATCTGAAATTCTTTCACCTGTATTGTTTTCCATTGCCAGTGTTATACCGTTAGTTTAAAGGGCTTTTGAAACAAAGGATACTTCATAGCAAATTTTATAAATAAATTTTTTATTAAAAAAATGATATAAATAAATTTGTAGCTAAATGGTTAAATAATAGATCGTTAATAAGGTGACTAATATTTTTAGTTAAGGTTACATCGTTACACAGCGAGTACAATTTTAAAAAAACATGGATTTAAAAAATATCAATTTATCGTTTGCATTGAAATCGCCTTGAAATGATTATTTGTTATTTTCTGGAATTCTGCATGTCTGTTGAGTTAAAACACATTTCAAAATTTTTAATGCCTACACCCTATTTTTCAAGAATTACGATCGTCAACTAAATATAATAGAATTTGTTCATTTATACTGTCTCTTCGGGTTTCACGATATCCGCAAATTTAAAAATGCGTCATATCAGCCCAAGATTTCTCTCAATATAAACATATACGCGAATCATTCCTGCAACTTTTTAGCGACGCGAAATTTTCATGTAGAAAGAATTTCGCATACGTAATGTACCGTGCCGCGAGTGTAGCCGAGCTGTCTAATTCTTTACAAGTGCATTTCGTCAAAAGACGTAGTTTCGCAATTCGTAATTCTTGAAACATAAGACGTAGGCATTAAGAAACTCAAAACGCTTTTTAAGTCATCGTCAAGTCGTTTAAGATTATGACAGCTCGCAAAATATTTCAGAATTCAGAAAAATAAAGAGACGACTTTAAGCGTTCAGCGATACACCGGAAAATCGCGGAAGTCTCAGCGCACCGATCGATCGCGCAACACGCCACTGCTCGCGCGCGTCGTGGCCTACTCTCTCTTTCGGGCACCATCCGCGATCCCACGAGCGGCGAAGAGTCCGCTCTGTGCGCGCGCGCGCGCGCGCACGCACAGGAGAGAGAGAGAGAGAAAGAAAATCCGCGAGTCTCGCGCGAATTCGCGTTACGCGCTGCGTGACGCGCTCGAGAGAGGAAAATCGAGGGAATAATGAAAAAAAGCGCGCGGCGGTTATAGGACAATGAAACGCAAAGCCGAGAGTTTGTTTCAAACGTTACAAAGCTCCAGCTCACGCTAGCTAGAGGACTCGTCGTTTCGCTGATTCGCGTCCCGCGCTCGCGTTTCCGCGACGTTCTCGCTGCGCGGTCCGCGTCGTATGATAAACGGAGATCGGATCTTGGGTCGCGCTCGCGTTGCGACTCGCGAGCGTGTGTGGGCGCGCGACGCGGTGCGGCGCGGCGCGGCGCGGCGTCAGCCCGCGTCGCGGAGACGGCGACGAGGACACCGCGCCGCACCGCGGTGCCGCGTTCCGCGGCCGACCGAGGAGTTCGTCGTGGCGTAGGGTTGGCGAAGGGGGAGAGGGTGAAGAGGGGGGCCGCGAGCGGGAGCAGAGAGGTGGGAGGAACTCGTCGTCGGGATGGTAGGGGGTGACGCCGGAGTGCGTGCGCGCTCGAGTCGTACGCGTCGCTTGTCAGTGTCAGTTGGTTCGCCGCGGCGACTGGTGGTGTCGTACAGACGTGTTAAACTAAAAACCTTCTTCGCTCTGGTCGGCACACGGTACGCGGTTTTCCCTTTTGCGCGCACCTTGCCCACGGCCGTGTAAAAACGTACACCCGTTTTTCCCCGGTGCCACCGGCGAGAGAACGCGCGCGCGAGAATCGGAGCGGCGGGCTCGTGAACCGACGACGGGACGATCATTAGTCAAGGGGGGACGGAACAGAGAGCCCGGCTACGAGAGCTCTCGTTCACGGGCTTCGAGAAGCGGAGAGACCGGCCTGCCCGTCGACGGCGACGGGCGGCGAGAGAGACACCGCATACAGGGCGCACGATCTCTCGTTACGGGACGCGGAACCGCGAAAGGCGCCAAGTTCTCCCGACGGTGTTCTCGTTATACGTTACGACGCGCGCGCGAGATTCGACTCCTGGTGGCTGCAACTGAGCTCGACCGGTTCGAGGAAACAGCCGCGGCGGTACGCGGACTTCTCGGCTATTCTACCATCTCGGCGAGTACCTGTCCGTCGTAGGTACACCCCAGCATCGTCGAGGTAACGAGAAGAGAAGGCGGGCACACTCAAGTGCGCGGTCCTCTGAACGGCGATTAATAACGCAATTGAGAGGCGTCGATATATATATATATATATAAGAAGCGAAAACTCTCGGGACAACCGGATGTTGATTTCTCTGCATACTTGTATATGACAACACACTCCGACCTCACGAAAGATCAGTGAAACGTGCCGTGACCTAGTGTCCCGACGAACGACAAGGAGAAGGAGGCTTGTACATACTCGTAAGTATCGAACTGTCATTAATCTCGTTCGCCATATGTTAGCCCTTCGTGCTCGATTCCCGCGGACTCCGTGACGGGGACAGGAAGATTCGGGGTGCAAGGAGGACCGATTATCGGCGCCCTCTCGATAGCCGGTCGGTTCTATCAGTTTTACACCTCGAAATGCTCCGAACTTCTTCACGGTGCTCCGTTTTGATTTTGAATTAAGACGTAATCGCGTTCCTGTGAACTGACATTTAGCGAAGGAAACTTGGAGAAGTCGCTCCGAGGCGATCTCGAGGGACTTCGGAGTCACTCTGCTCTCTCCTCGAGTTCGTTCCTTCGGAGCTCGAAAAACCCGCCGCTCGCAACACATCCGTGCGCTATATACACATTCGCGTCCCGCGCGCGACGAACGATCGCGCTCTTTCTAGAACGTCGCGGTCCGCGCGCGCACGCGCGCGACCTTTCGCGAAGTCCTCGCCTGCCTCCTCTCGCTCGAGAGTACATCCAGACGGAACTTTTTGCGCGCCGGGAACTCCGCTGGGTGTCGATGCACCCCCCGCGGACGCGAGAAAACATGCGCGAGGGGGTAGACGCGCCGGGTGAAATGCGATCGGTCGAGGAACTTCGACCGCGACGGTCGCAAATACGGTGATACCAATTAAATATCAATCAATTGTCGTGTGCTCGCTTTCATTCCTTCCCCTTCCCTTCCCTACCTCACTCTTGAGTCTCGCCTGGTGATCAGCATTTAAATCGAGTGCCGCTAATTTCTAACGGCGAATGCACTAAGCCCATATCGGACTACGGCATTGGGAATTGCGAATTGGAGATTAGGAGTTCAATCAATTTAGAACGAAACGGATTAAAATTATCTGCTCCGTCAAATTCTAATCTCGAATTCGCAATCCTCAATCTCCAATAGGTGGTTTGATACGAGTTTTATGGATAACGAGAAGTGCCGAAACTGTAATCGAAATATCGGCGGGATCGTTAATAAATTAGCTCCGAAGTCAGTGACAGTTTCATTTGGTGACTGCGCGTTAATTACAAATTGTATTTATGATTAGGCAGCTTTTTTTTGCGGAGAAGATTATATTTACTTGACTTTATCTAAGCGGCGGAAGTGGATTCAATGGCCGTCCCGCCGATGGCTATCGATCATTCGCCGGTGCGTCTACTCGAGACATTGTGTGCGAAAACAACACTCGCGGTTCTTCCTCGTTCCTCCGTTCGTAATTATAGGATAGTGGTTCATTTTGCGCAGTCCACTTTCACTCTGCAATTTAAATCACTTTATGACTACTACGTTTCTCAAACGCGGAACTGATTAACCCTTGAAAAGCAAGAAACGTAACAATGCGCGTTTTAATATGTAAATCGAATTTTCGTAAAACGATACAAATGTATAATTTATTTCTTAATTTGGGACGTATCGCGATATAATATTTAAATTCGTGTGAAAGTAACAGTGCAAGGCACAATTCTTATGTTTTCGTAACACTTGGCTCTCCGAAATATATTTGGAATACAGTTCGTACATAAACATTCACTGTTTATAAAGTTCGTCACGCTAAATCTTGAGAATACAGCGTTAATAATTAATGAGCAGACTCGATTACTGAAACTCTCCGGAGATACGCTTTTAATTCGCGACTCGATTCGTTTTCAACGGCTATACAATGTGTATGGTGAGGAAATTGAATTACAAGTGCCGCGGCAATTATGTCATTGTGTACACGTGATACTCTGAGGAATCGACTGTTTTGCGGGAATAGATTAGTAGTCAAGGTCAGGATATCTTACTTGCAACAAATCGAGACACACACACACACGCACAAAATAACACATGCCCGCGCGCACACATACGTACACGCGCACACAACGTATCCATCGCGGATCGCTGGCGCAAATGCCTTAATGTACGTATACGTTAATTCATCCGTTACGTGCGATCGCGCGCGAGCGGTGTATTAAAAGCCGCTGTCGACTTGTTTACCGTGTCTTTAACGAGCACTCTCGGCAATATGGTGAAATAATTATTACGTCGCGACGCTGAAAAGGGAAAGGCGGGGTGGATATCGGGATTACGCAAAACGGATCGGAGGCGTCCATCGAATTATCCGATTTATTTTCACGCCAAATGAAAACACACGTCGATACATATGTAAAAAAAAAAAAGAATAAAAATGTAGTATAAGCGTTTCTGCGAAATATCCGTTTACGGCATGTATAATACAGAGCTTCAGCGGAGTTTTATCAAAGCTCCGTGGATCGCGACATTCGAATCTGCGGGGCGGGATAACGCGAAAAATACTTTCTGAGAAATTTATAAACGCTCCATTCTCTTGTATTTGCGCGGGAAGTTCCGTGACTTAACAATTAATTGTCTGAATAAAATGACTAATGACAAGCTGGTAAACAAGCTCCATCTCGCGATCTTAGCATTAGCACGGATTAAATTACATTGTACTGCATTTCCGCTTGCAGTGCGCTTCTCGAGAAAAAGAAAGAGAGAGAAAGAGAGAGAGAGAGTGAAAAAGAGGAAGAGAACCGGTTGAGACTATTCGTTAGCGCGGAAGACATTTTTTTAGCTCGTAAAATCGACGAGGTCATTTCTCATTTCACCTTTCGATCGCGGCGAACGGCTACAGGTTTGTTTTTTTAAAATGAATTTCTTGCTCTCGGTTCATCTTTTCTCTTTTTCTTCGCGTTGGAGAATGAAAAAAGAGAAGATATAAACGTAACAAACGATGTATATATATATATATATATATATATAACAGGTCACGAAAGCGATCGAACGGGGAGACATTTTCGAACTCGAAATCGATTGACTCGGTATGTCGCTATACACGAGATAGTCTCCAAAATACCGGAATATACCCGAAATACTATCCGAATTTCTAAGCAGTGACATCACCAATCGCGGCGTCGGAGACGTCGAGCTATAGATAGACCCACTCGCGACGGGTCAAGGCATTTTTCCCTTTTTTTCTCTCCTCTTTTTTCCTCTTTTCGCGAATGCCAGCTGCGAACGGCACGAGTGGAATAATTCGCGCGAGAGAAACGATTGCGCCAGACGCATTTCGGAACGCGCGCGGTTCGAACGGCCCCCGCGCCGTCTGGTGTCGCCCCCGCGTCTGGCGTTGCCCCCTCCCTCCTCCCCCTACCCCGCTTCTCTACTTAATCATTTTAACATTGTTCGCACGAAGATAGATAATCCGTCGATTTATGTCAGCCAGTTTGAGGGAGGTGTCAATGGAATCTTAAGCAGAGATTTGCCAAGACCCTAATAATGCACGCGGCGGCGCGATGCGACGCGTGTGCAAATAAACGCGCGCGCGCGCACGCCCGCGTCGTTGTTGATTACGTTAGCCAACAGGTTGTTTCTTGCTCGCGCAAGAACAAAGCGCTCGTTTAGCTCAAGTGACATGCGTTTGTCTGTTTGCGCGAGCGCGCGACACCTACGGAGTTTCGGAGTTTGCATGGAGCAGCTGCGCTCAGCGGCGTCCCGGGAACGCGCGCAGCGTCGCGTAAACTTGTTTGTCTTAATTACTTGTTTGCATACGACGATCGCGAATTAATATTGGAACAGTTTAACAACTGATTGCACTCGACGGGAGGCTGAAAAACAATATTCGTAGACTGTCTTGCATAGAAAATTTATTTTACACGTAGGCGGAAATTCTTACATCTCATAAATCTACGTCTGAATTAATTACTAATCCATCGCAAACTATTTTGTATATTCTAGTGAGATAATGCCACTATCGGAAAATATTTTAACGAATAGATTTTTTTTTTAATGGTAGTTGCGTTAAAAAGAAGGAATTTATTTTCAATATATATACATACCTGTTATGATTATTATATCTAAATTAGACAGTCTCTACGAGCAATCTCTACGATTACGTCATCGGCGTATCATCGAAATGAGATCTAGGAAATTTTTATTCTCTCGAGGAAGCACAAATCTGTCTCTTCCTCTCCCTCTCTCTCTCTCTCTCTCTCTCTCTCTCTCTCTCTCTCTCAAGTTCGATAGTAACGCGATTTCATCACGTTGCTTGTTGCTAATGCGCAAATAAATAAATTGGTTCTCGATGGACAACACGCAGTATTAAAATATCTTCACTTAAGTATGTATATGCATTCTATCTCGAATCATGCAAACAAAGTGCGTTTATCCGTTAAATATTGAAATGTTGAACGTACGGCAAATGTATGCCGCAAAGCGCCACGTATCGTATTATTGTATTGTCGCGTTCACGGGTATTTGTTGCGACTCGGTATTTGATGAGCAAACGTGCGTTCCGGGGAAGAACCGGCTTTATTCCGGTCGCGCCGCATTATGATTCCTATTAAAGAGCGATAGCGAGATACCGATGTGTGTTACGTACGCGACGGAAAGAGAGAGAGAAAGGGAGAGGAAGATAGAGATACGACGGTGCACGTGCGTCGAGAGATCGTGTTATAATCTCTCCGTTGAATTTTTTGATCCCGCATCCTTTCACTCACCCGGCGGCCACTTCCTCCTTTCTTCGCGAATCTCCTCGCGGGATCGCGAAGTATATGATGCATTCCTGACGTTTCCCTGACCCTGCTTCTCACCCGAATTTCCGGTCGAAGATATCGCGGCTCGCGAGCGTAACATCGCGCACGACACGCATCGAATCCGTGTTGTTATCGCTCCCGTAAGATACCTTTCACCCAATTTCCGCCTTTCGGTTACGCCGACAGGGCCCTCTTCTTACTCGCCCGATGCGACGCCCTGCCTCGCGCGACTCGTTCCAATATCGATTTTTCCCTTCCTTTTTTTTCGTCGAGCACAATGGAGCGTCGTCTATTTGGAACGTGACGTGCTCGCCAGTCGACCAGGCATAGGTAATCTTCATAGTAATCACTTAAACGGCCCGATCCCGCCTTTCACTCCCGCCGGAGTACTTCCTCCTTTCTTTCGGATTTTTTCACACTTCGCCATTCTCCGCTGCCGCAAAGTTTTTTTTTTCGAGTTTCCG